CACCTACATGCTAGGCCTCTCAGATATAGCCGTGCACGTGCCAGCCAAGTCGCCACTTTTGTGGAACTTACATTCCACTCAGCACTATAAAGCACAAAAGAACAAAGTATAAGTTTTGGCCTTCTATGAACCATTAAACAGTTAAAACAAAGGAGTTGAGCAAAAATGCCAAAAAGACAGCTTTACTGATACCACCCAACAAAAATTGACCATATTAATGCTTTATTAATGGATATGATCAGTGCCACAGTAGCTTCGGGGTGATCTGGAATTGTTTCCAGGATATATGTGTAAATGAAAAAAGCAGAACGGAAAACAACTTTCTGTTTTAAATGAGAAGAAGGAAGGCAGGAAGGCAGGGAGGGAGCGAGGGAATGTGTATACTGCATAGTGTCTCTGGAAAGACTGAGAAAGCGCTTGCCTTGGGGCGGGTGTCTGTGAGAAGGCCACCGTGCTTACTCTTTTTCCTTTTGTACCTTTTAAGTTTTATGCCACATGCATACCTATTCAGAAACGAAATAATTTTAAAATAAAGTGAATGCTTTTACTGTAAAAATTTAGAAAATACTAAAAGTATTTAAATCATTCATAGTTGAACTAAATAGTATTAATATATGTGATCATATTGAGATTTCATAATATATGTGAACATTTCCCCATGTCTTTTTAAAATATTCACAAATATTTTAATGCCTGTATCATGTTTCATTTGCACTAGTTAAATATGTATATGCATTTCTGTTGTCTTTTTAGGACATCTGACATGTCCATTTTGGTGTCTTTAGGTTTTGACTACTATAAATAATACTATGATGATCACCTTTGTACAATGATCTTCATGCACAACTTGGATTATTTTCTTAGAATAAATTATTATAAGCTGACTTAACAGACCTACTGACTTAGTGGCTCAAGGATGTGAAGAAAAGTCAAGGTTTCTTGATGCATCTTGTCAGCTCACTCCCCAGAGAGGTCCTGACAGTTTACACGCTCATGGTGTGAGAATCACCATTATCTGGTGAGATTTCCAGCTTTGAGGATTCTTTATTTCCACATTTGGTGTTGACTTGAAAGAGCAGAGTGAGGGAAGAAGACAAATGTTGAAGAAAAATGAAACTATGTGCTTGTGCTGCGGGTCAGAGAGCTCCCTAGATTACCCCCGCCTCCCCCCCCATCTTTGGAACCGCTGTTCCCTGAGGGGAGGGGAGGGGGCAGCTGGAGCTAGTTGGCTTAGTTCGGGTTTTCCAGGATTGGGCTTTGAGCTTGGCATACTTCCCTCTCTGGGCCAGGAGGGTCAGCTTCTTGCACTGGGCATCTTGTAGGGTCAGCCGAGCAGAGGTGGAGCCAAAGCCCAGGGTGTCTGTTCCTTTTAGATGGAGCCCGTAACTCCATCCCACGGTGTCAGATCCTAGCGATACCAGACAAGAACATCAGCACAGCAGGCTACAGTGGGCAGAGCCTTTTGCAGTAGTTCTGAGGAGTCGCCCTGTCATCCCCCCAGATAAGAAAAGAGGGATAGTAGGAAGGCAGACAGATAGGTAGACTGACAGACAGATTCGTGTTTAATTTGAGGAGTACTGTTGAGCATCTACTCTTTGTGCTGGTTGAGAATCTGAGGGTGGAGCAGCCAGAGCATGTGGCTTAGCTGCCAGGATTAGCCCTTTCCGTCTGGTGTGGTGAAAATCCAAATAAAAGTCATTATTCTCATGGAGCCAACATTCTAGTTGGAGGAAAAGAGCTGGGGGAGATGGTGTGGTCTGTACAGGGTCTGTTCCTTCCTGTAGGCAACGGGCATAACTTGGAGGATGAGCCTAGGCCCAAGAGGCAGAGGGGTCCACCTGAGACCTTGCTGAGTCATGGTTAGAAATTTACCTCACTGACCTCAGAGAGCTGTTGTGACAATTGAGTGAGGGATGGAAAACATATAATGACTTGGTAAAAGTTACCTTTACTTATTGTTAGAATTATCTTAATTTTTATTGTTATTACTGCTATTGCAACAGGCCATTCCCCAGTTCAGAAGCTTTGAGCAGTTTACCCAGAGGGAGAGTGCAGGACTGAAACTTATGTGACCTGCAGAAGGAACCACCTCTGGGACTTCAGAGAGGTTTTTGTTATTTGTTTCTTGCTGAGGAGGAACCAAAGCTCAGCAACTAGGGCAGCCAAGAAAAAGACATGCTGGGCGCACCCTCTGCTGGAGCTTGGGGGGATTACCGTAGACAGGATTCAGCCCGCCTTTATTTAACGGGGGTAATGGAAGCCCAGAGTGGGGAAGAGTCTTGCTAAGGTCCCGTGGCAGAACACAGGGCCACTCTTTCTTTTCTGTATTGTGGGTACCTCCCTGTCTCCCGTGCCTGATCTGTGAGTGCTCCTAATTTATTCTTCAGGTGTCTCTTCTGAGCTAGGCGTCGTGAGATGTGATTCTAGCCCTCCATACTGTCCTCTCACCCCCTTTTTCTCTCTCCCCATCCTATGCCTACCGCCCTTTGACCCTCTCTGCCCCCCC